CCCCCCGCGCCGCCGCGCCGCGCCGCGCCGCGTCGATCGACGGGGGAATACGACGAACACGTAGTACGTACGGGAGTGGAGAGGAGCGAGTAAGTGTGTGAGTTTACGCGCCGCCGAGTGGGGGTCGAGGCGAGTGTTTCGTTTCGACCGGATCGGGATCCGCGTTGCCCTGACAGTCGACGAGGAGTGTGTTGTACGCGCGGGTGTGCATATACACGGCTGCGCTGCGCTCGCCCGCGGCTGCCGACTGCCGTGCGAGTCGCGCGAGGCGCGATCGTAAACACGCAACGCGACCACGCAACGTGCGAGGACAAACAAGTCGCGACGTAATATATCCAGCCGGACTGCGACGGTTCCTCGCGATCATTTCCGCGCGAGAGAGAGAGAGAGAGAGAGAGAGAAACTGTCGCGATTTTCCTCCGACTCCGAAATCGTCGAGTGCGCCGACAAGTGCGGGCGTTTTCGGGAGTGGCGGTTTATCCGCGTCCACGTCGCGCTCCAGGCGAGTCGCGAGTGACATTCTCGCCGGGAACAGCTGGGCGACGAATCTCCCGGAGCATCACCGGCGCCCGTTCATCGACGCGTCAACGACCTCCGGGCTCTCCGTTCGCGATCCCGTAAAGGAGCTCTCTCGCCGGAGTGGAGATCGCACGGTGTAAACGGTGTTCCGCGTTAACGTGACGAAGGCGCCAACGCGCTTCGGCGCTTCGTCGCTTCGTCCAAAGGACTCGTGCGCGCGCGCGCGCGCGAGTGACCCTGGGCGTGAAAGTGACACTTGCGCGAAGCATAAAAGCACAAGCCAGGAGTAAACACTTCCTGGAAATAGCGGTTCCCGACGACTCACGCTCGCCGCGAGGAACGGAACCGGTGCCGGTGCGCGAGAAGGGCAGCGAAGGGAAAGAGAACCGGGGTGTCCCAGGGTGTCCAGGGTGACGGATCCGCGGCGGTGAAGAAGGCGAGAAAAGGAAGGAAGGAAGGAAGGCGATGCTGTGTCTCGACTGCGATCGACTGCGCGGTTAATTCGCACGTGTCGCGATATGTCGGGTGGCACGGCGGGCGGCGGCGGTGTCCGCGGCACCGGCGCCGAGTGCAGGAAGTTCGCGCCGAACATATTCAACAAGAGCAAGTGCAGCAGCTGCTTCAAGCAGAAGGAGGAGCACAGCGCCGAGGCTCTGGAATGCAACAGGGTGAGTTTTGCTTGATGGACTCCTTCTATCTTCGTCTTCACCGTCACCCTCTCCTTCCCTCTTTTTAAAGCTCCTCCTCTTTCGCTACCGCACACACACACACACACTCATGCCTTCTCTCTGTCTTCCTCTTTCTCTCGCTTACATAACTATGTATATACGTAATTATAGTCATTGAATGTTAATCCGAAAGATTCTCTTTTCGCGAGCAAAGGCAGGAGCAAAAATATGCAGTTCGGGAAGGTATATTTATTATACGTTACGCGTATATGTATACTTATTATTACACGTCATCGGTTTTGATAGTGTGATTTTTCGAATTTAAAAACAAATTTTTTAAATCTTTATTAAAAATATTCTAGACTCCCTGACTTTATTTAGAGCAGAATTTAGTACACAGACGTGACAAGTTTAATAATTAATTTTTTTATGAAGCACACATGGAAAAAATAATTTCGCTGAAATATCTAAAAATTTAGCTATAAATATAGATTTGATAATAATTTTGTTGGATTACCAACATATTATATACAGGACGTTCAAATTAGTTGCTATTGCAGCGTCAAGCTTGAGATTTCTTCGTAGCTATTTGAAATATCCAATGAAATTCTTTTTATTTTAATTCAGATCTACATTTAGCTACATTTTTTAGATACTTCAGTAAAATTGTCCTTTCCGCGTGCTTGTCGGTTTTTAAAAACTTTTCTGACAATAAGACGATAAGACGCTTCTCTGGTTTTTCTTCGTATCACTCTCTGTCTTCTTTTCTCTCTTTCTCTCTCTCTCCTTTACTGGTACTCGAGCATCTGACTCGGCTCTTCTCTTTCTCGCTCACTCTCGAATTCCTTTCTGAGATCGAAGACGAGCGGCGAGAAGGAATAGAGGTCCTGCCGTTGTCAGGATGTCGACGTTATGTAAGATCCGTCGTGGCCGTCGTTCACAAATCGCCTCGCGAACGCGACGTACGTTTCGTTTACTTGTCCTTCAAGCGACATAGATCTTCCGGCTCGTTTGCATCACGACAGTCGTGGTTCATTAATTTTACCTTAGCCATCGCGCTGCACCTTTCTAAATCGATATGAGTAAAAATGATAGTTTATTCGATTGACGTTACAGTGCCGCAAGCACTGCCGTTGCCACTCAAATTATTACGTAATCTACGAGTATCGTGTATAAAGACCGAAACGAGTAAATGTTCCGGCATTGAAAATAGATACGATAGGTACTTGCTAACAAGAGACATAGGTGACATATAGTGGGCGGTATTTATAGTCTATTCTTATTTTAAGGCCGTGCCTAATGTTTTAAAATGCTAATATGACTCTCTGATTCACTGAAAAAAAGTTTACTGAATTTCATCAAGTACTTGTTTGAATATTACTAACGAAATATTTACTTACAGTAAATAAATAGTTATTCAAAGTAAAAAATTATATTTCATTAAAATAAATATATGTTTAGAGATTTAGTAAATATTTCGTTAATACTATTCAAAAACAAATCTTTAATAAATTTTAATAAACTTTTTCAGGATTAGTTTATCTGGAGACTGTACTTAAGACGGTCCTAAGTATAAGATCCGACTATAAATACCAGTGTAACACAGTGAATCATAAGATTTTTGTTGTTTGCCAATGTTAAACAAAGATGATATGATCACTGCGTCATACAGTATCGCTTGTTGGAAAGCATCAGATATATGAGATAGAGATTTTAGATTTCAAATTGCGAAATTTCGCATGAATTTGTATGTATATGTATGATGATTATCGTTTGCGGATTATTTCGTGTTGCTTCGTAAGCCCGAATTTTTTTATGACGGTTAATCATACGTATAGTATAACGAGCAACAATTACGCGGTAATCTAAAGGCACGTCTTAAATAAGTGTATTATAAAATCCGGTGTTTTAAAAGAAATTGCTTGAAAGTAAAGGAAAATTTTGGAGCCAGCTTATCTTAACATCGTTGAGTATGAATTTAATCTGTACGTTGGATTAACGAATTAATGATTTCCTTAAAAAAATATATATTAGTTATACAATCCGTATAAAAAATTTGAATTTAGAAATATATTATAATTTATATTTTCCCTAAAAAAAAAAAAAATGAATTATTCAAATTGTATAAGATTTCAATCATTTTGTATGAGTATTTTATATAATCAAGATTATTTAGTGTTCATACATATAAAAGCAAGATTATTTAATGATTACTTATGCAAAGTTTTGCATAAAAAGATCGAACGAATATAATTATAATAAAAAAAAATTTACAAATACCAGTCTGAGTTGATTCTCGTGTATCTTTAATCTGTGGTGATATCGATGTAAATTCAGTTTTGATATAATAAATTTATTAAAATGTATTTTGTATGAAAAAGAATTTATAATGATTGTACTGTATGTTGCAAATAATAATTAGAAATGAAAAAAGTTTATTAATGTATATTTAGTGTATGATATTATTATACATACTTTGTAGAAATTTAAATGTTTGATCTAGCTGTGTAGAATAGAGTAGAAATACTTAAAAGATATGGTCTTGTTTCTTTAACTTGAGAGTGCGTGCAAGGTATCGCTGCGTCACGATCGAGAATACCTAATACGTCTTTCGATGCGAGTATATGTCAGAACGAGAGAGAATCTTTATAGTTCTGCTTTTTTCGTCTCGTATAATTTTTATTTACAACAAGCTCTTCAGCGGGTTCATGAAAATCATATGGGAAAGAAAAGTATATATATATATATATAGAGAGAGAGAGAGAGAGGGGGGGGAGGAAAGAGGGGAAGAGGAAAGAAAACGTAACAAGAACATTAAAAATCAATTCGTGTTGTACGGTATCGAGGATAGAAGGAGATCGTGATAGCGGAATCGTTGTCACTTCGTAAATGCGTTTTTTTTCTCTGTATGTGAAATTGCTTTTTTATACCCGATCGCTACTTTACCGTTTGTTTTAATGCTTCATTAATCGTCAAAGTTAGTAGTGCTATCTTTTAACTAAAGTTATAATGACGCAATGAATTGTCGTTTATTTTACACAAAATTACATTTTTAGTATTTTCATGTATATAATATAACGTTCGATTTTTTTTCATTCTCTTATGTTGTTATTTTATAAATTTTATAGTGACGATTTTATATACGCACTCTGAAAAAAGAATCCGGTAATATATCTATGAAATGTTGATTGAAATTGAACAAATATTAATTTTATTTTTATCATATTAGATGAATAATAATATTTCAAGGCACAACACACAAGATCGAAGGCAAGATAGAATACCAAGGCAAGGAAATTTTGAAATTTTTTGTAAATTCGTACAATTTTAGCAAATTAAATTTAATACGGTTAAATGAATGAAAAATCAATTTAATTTAATAATATAACTCTAGTTAAATTTTGCGATGAATTATCATTTTGTATAGTTTGAAAAAAAATGGTAGATTTTCGTTGGCGGGCGTTGAGCGTTCACCGATACACACGGCTGTTTATACCCGGTCCTCGCGCCGTTGCGAAATTTCGGAATGTCGGCAGCCTTGCGACCTGTTCTCGGTGCATTCCAGCCATCTCTTCCTCCAGCACCTCTACGAGAGAAGAAGGCCCCCTCCGAGAGTTGTTGGCCTGTCGGCTTTCGCATGGATGCCGGTATCTCTGTATCGGTTTATTCTTCCCGTCTCGCTTCCCCCCTTTCACACGGACTATCTCTCTCCGTCTCTCCCGCGCGTGACCGCAAATAACGTATGCATACGCGACTCGATATTTCTTTACCCGTTGGCCGTAGTACGGTTTTCCCGGTAAGCTGGTTTCGGTAACTCGCATCGATAGATAGAGACAGGGAAAGAAGGAAATCAACGTTAGTTCGTTAACCGGTATTATTACGTGTCTTTCGTCACAATCGCGTTATTTTTCAGGTGAAAGTATAATATCGTTTTACTCACTGTGTATCTGAAAAGCTATAAAATTACGTAAATTGGTCCGTGAGATTTCGTATCGCGGTAAGAAGGAAAAGAGTTGATTTTCATTCGTCTTCCAAGGAGATATTTGCAGACCTATACACATATATCTCAATCGTATATATCGTAAGATCTAATTTCAGCGAGAATATACAATCGTATCGCACGATAGAAAATACGATTAACAAAAGAAATCGGTCTTATTACGCGTGTATGTACGTTCTTGTTCTTGACTAAAGAGACCCTTGGGCCATGCTCGCTCGTGACCGGCCATTATCGGCGTGCAACTTGGTATTTTCAGAGTCCGATTACTTCTTCGTGAGCGCCTTCGTAAGTGCCTTCGAGAAATAATTTCCTGGGGTGAGAGAGCCCGAGACGCGGTTGGGACGTACCTTAAATTTTGATCCGGTGAAACGATTCTGAGACGTCTTACGGTACCTCGGGCTTCCTTCTGGCTTTTGTGAATATCTTCTCTTGCTATCAAATTCCTGATATTTCGCGAATATTTCTTTCTTTATTCATACCTATTTTAACTTTTAGTAACTTGATACACGGAAAGGACGGTTTTGTTGAAGTATCTAAAAATCCCGCTGGATACAGATCCAAAAATAATTTTTTTTAATATCATACTAAAAGCAAACATTTACTTACAGCATAAATAAATAATTACTTGATAAAATTGATAGTTAAATTAAATTAATAGTTTTTATATCAAATAAATATATATGTTTACATTTAGTAAATTTTTATTTAAAACTATTCCATATATCTTTCGATTAATTATCATAGAGAATATTTTATTATACATACTTGTCTCAAAATTCTATTTTTAATGTCAAATCCGATGAATCTTCATTAATTTAATACATCGCGTAAAAAAGAAAAATATTCTGCTATGCGTATTTAGTAAAATATAAAAAATCGATAAGTGTCATCTTTGAACTTTGATGTACTCGAAAAATTGTGTATTTATGTAACACATGCAGCAACCTTGTTTTCCAATTTAACCGATGCTGTGGCATTCGTGACTCGCTCGACGCACATG